AATTAATATTAGCAATGATACACGCAATATAGTCACACAGACAGTAAAATAGGGAGTGCCATTTTTGGTACATCTACACCCTGTACAGTAAACACATCCAGTGTGTACCTAAGACAGTGTTCACCTAATGTAAATCTCTTTGATTTTCATGTGTTGCTTTCCCCCAGCTCTTCCGGTTACATTTAAGCAAGAAGTTCAGAATTTGGAGCTGAAGGAAGGTGACAGTGGAGTGTTCTGCTGCGAGTTGTCCAAACCTGAAGCACCAGTGGACTGGAGGAAAGGAAGAGTCATTCTTAAGCCCGGTTACAAATATGAAATGAAACAGGAGGGAAATTTCACCAAACTGTTTGTCAACCATGTAGAAGAGTGTGACGCTGGGAAGTACACTTGCAAGACAAAAGACAGCCAATCCACTGCTGAGCTCATCGTGATAGGTGAGTGATCTCACATCTACGATCATACAACCAACTGTCCCATCCGGATGTTCACAATAATTTGTATTTCCAGCACCTCCCATCACATTCAAAACCAAGTTAAAGAACCTCCAAGTGGAAGAGGAGAACAGCGTGACATTGATATGTGAATTGTCCAAGCCCGGCCTTTCTGTTGAGTGGAGGAAAGGCCAGGAGCTGCTGAAGAATAATTTCAAATACCAGCTAAGAAATCGAAACAGCATGCTGGAGCTGACCATCAAAAACACTCAGCTGGATGACAGTGGAGTCTACAGCTGTATCTATGGCGATACCAAGACCGTAGCCAACATCACTGTGACACGTAAGAGATGATCGCTACGTTTAAGTATGCATGTTGTGGAATAGTCCAACTTTTCTCCATCCTACATCCACAGCTATTCCACTCACCTTTAAGATGGGTTTGAAGAACCAGGAGGCCGCTGAGGGAGGCAACGTGACCCTAAGATGTGAACTGTCCAGGAGTGGGATGTCTGTACAGTGGTGGAAGGGAGAGGACCAGCTCCATCAAGGTGGGAGGTATCAGATGACCCTCAAGGAGAACGTAGCTGAGATGAGCATCAGAAACATCCAGCCGGAGGACGTTGGGGAGTACAGTTGTGTCTTTGGCGAGCAGAAGACAACTGCTGAAGTGAATGTGAGAGGTATTCGATATGCTTCTTGTTTTTGAAATTATTGTTCATGAAAATGTACTAAACTCTAATGATTATTGAGTTTTTGTCACAGAGCTTGCACAGACACTGATGATCCTCTTG